ACACTGGAAGTGCTGGAAACTCAATCCCAGACACGGTAAATTTATCACATAATAATAGTTTACACAAAGGTAATCCTTCCAGTCAGTGCTGGATTCGCTATCAGGCACTGAAGGTATATAGGGGGCAGAGGCAGTGAGGTGGCTTTTTCTTTGGGTAATTATTAGATAATCATTGTTACACATCGTCGCAAAATCCTAAACCAGGTTGGGAGCAGGAAAACAAGAAAATGTGGAGGTGTGGAGAATAAAGGCATCCTCAGGATAAGAATGGGTTTCCTCTTACTTTCTGTCTCATAGACAGTGGTCACCAAGAGAATAAGAGGGGTGTATCTCTCCAGAGGGTCTAACCTTTCCTTTCTCTATCCAAACCTAAGAACAAAAAAGGGGGTCTTTGCCTTTACATACACTCTGAACCCCATGTCTGGTTTAAATCTAGTAGCTAGTCTCAGTGATGGAACACTTGACCTTTAATATATATGTGTCAACTACTGCTGGTTAGCAGGTCAGTTATTATATACTGAATATCCAGCAGATTGATTGCGATTGTTTGCTGTGTGTGGCATAAACTGGAGAGTAATGCAGTTTTTCACCATCCAGTATATGGGGGGAGTGTGTCACCACTTCCAAGATACATCAAGCATATAAATGTGCATTCGTTATGCATCACTAAGCACCTAACTGTGACCATAAATCCAACGTCTGTGTTTTTATATCGAATCGTCCCCATCCCAGGGTTGTATATGGTAGCGGTCAGAGTGATAGCAAAGATTATACTCTTTCACGCTCTCCTCAGCTTGCTAGATTCTGGTGCCATACACAAATCTCTACAAAGTGTAGATTCTACCACAGCATAGAAAATGAAATGTTATGTGTGTCTATAAGACTCTCACCTCACAATACTCAGATAGCACATAACATTCTACTTTCCAATAATAGAACTTAAACAAGGGATGTCAGGTGCAGAGAACATAGGGTGAGTTAATGTACATAGGTGCTGATAGAACTTGCAGGGTAATTAAGCTTGCACAGCTTTACAACTAGAAATAGGTAACAACCAATACTGTACCTGTAACCCTGCAGCTCTAGAAAGTAATAGATAATAGGCAAAAAGAGCAGTTCTAGTACACATTTACTGTTAAAATAATCATGACATACATATTGGCTTAAGGCTTAAGGCTTGAAGATTTGGTATATTACAAAAGGCATCTCTGAATGTAGCAGGTTTAATTTATAATGAGGATATACCAGGAGGCCCTGGTTTACATATTGTGTTGGGGCTGGAGGAACTTAGTTACACCCCTGTTCTCATACATTAATAAATAATGGGATACAACACTGTGCACTAAAACTCCTGAAGAGCTAAACAAGGAACAGCTAGGATTTAAGGAGTAGGTAAACAATGATGACATTTTCCAGACCCAAAAAAGCCATAGGCAAAAAGAAACCGGCTCAACAAATATTATTTCTGGAACTGAAGTCTCTGATTTGTATCAGGAAAAGAAAATGAATATACAGGTTTTAGAAAGTTCAGTCAGCAACATAAACAAATGAAATGCTGTGGTCAGCACAAGTGCTTTTCCTCTCCAAAACCTGCAAGCTGATGCCACACAACAGGACTACAGGAGAGAAGGGCTGGCAGGTGACACATTTGGGCAACCAGAGTTCATGTTGCCGTTATGGGTTGGCTTGGGTAACTTCATTTTCCTCATTACCATTGCTCTTTGCACGGATTTACTGAATAAATCTAAATCCATGCAAATAAACCTGCAACACTTAAGACTTGTTTATCACGGCAGTGTGCAATATACAGTAGCCCACAGCAACTAATCAGAAAATTATCCTCCATGGATCTGACTTCAGTAGGCAGAGTTTAGGTCCCTAAAAAAAGTCCAAGTACTAGTGTCCTGCAAGAGAAGAGCTGTTATACTTACCTTGCTGGCAGTTTGTGTCTTCTCACTACCCCCGGAGCTAGCATTGCGGCCTCCATCAGTGTCTTCGGTATTCAACAGTAGTGCCAGATATCTACCAACCGCAGCACGCCATAGTTCCTACCTCTGACCCCTGCATCACTATGAGTCCTGTAGTGACATAGGAGTCAGAGTCTGGAATATATTTAGATACCTAACAAGGTTACTTTAAATACATATAGAACCAATGACACTGGTTTTGCAGAGCATGCTGTGCCTTCTGAAAAAAGACATGGAAGTAGATTTTTCCTTTGTGACTGTCTCACTTTAATTAAATCTCTATATGCTTTCATGGGAATGATGTGTGGGGTTTGCTTATAGCTATGCATTCAGGAAATAAATATAAATACTCATCTTTTGCAGGATTTATTTTTCAGCATTTATTTGTCCTGCCACATGTTCCTAGAATCTTCCATCTCTTCCAGAGCAAAACCACTGGCAGAATCTTCAGCATCCAACAACCGTTCTATTTCATATGCCTGTGTTGCTCAATGCAGTGCTGTGGTCCCACCTGCCAGCTGTTTTGGATAGATTAGGGAAGGGGTAGATCCCCTCTCAAAGTTTTATTGACGTCTATGCCCTTGTTCAGGAGATTTCCCCTCACTTCCTGTCTTGTCTGTGTCTACAGTTGTCACTGTAACAGGTTTCTCCACTGGGAGATCTCCTTTCTATTCCGGGTTTTTTGACAGCTGCCAAGGTTTCTTCTCACTTTCTGCTCCAGTAACAACTGTCACCAAGAGAAAATGTGAGTGGAAAGTCCCCCAATGGGAAGTCAACAGTAAATAATTAAAAGTGATTCTAACCCGTCCCTAATCCTTTAGGAAGAGCTTTGCATATGAGACACCAGCTCCGCACACAGCCCAACACCAGGTCACATCTTCCAACATTGGACTTTCCATTTATTTTGCATTCATGGCATATGAAGGCCACATATTGCAGCATGGTAAATTATGATCAAAGGACAACAAGTCCAAAAAATGTCACCACTCTTCGCTGGAAATAAAGTCATCTCTATGAGTAAGCCACGATGGTGAAACGGGCCAGTGGCTGAGAACTCATGGGGTGGAATATGAGGTGTGTTTCTGCTGCTTAAAGATTTTTATCTCCAGATACGTGGAGTGGGGCATTTTGTAGACTTGTGGTCTGAAATGTGGAGTGTTCTTTTATAGGACTGGGACCCCATTGTTGTATACATGATGGGTGTGGTAGGTGTAAAGAAGAGAACTCTAGTGAACAGATTTTCACTGGAACTCCCAAAAGGATAGAACGGGTCACTGACACCACCAAAAAAAACCATGTGGGTGAGTTGTGGGAGAATTTAGCCTTTAGAAAAATCACTGCACTGATGTGACTGGCAGAACAAGAGAATGCAGTGTGTGCTTACTCATCCCTGACTTGGCTGCTGACACTATATTGTATGTGACTGACGGGCTTGAGTCAATGTTTTCTCCTCGCAGCACTTCCATCTGCTGAAGACTACATGTTGTGACAGTCCAGCAGAGATGGCTCTGAAAAAACATTCAGGCACAGAGAAACAAATAAAATTGTTCTGTGATCCATCTGTGCGTCGTGAGTAAGACCTCAGCAATAAGTGATACTTTTATATTAACATAACAGCATGCTCATTAGCAGGTGTGAGAATGAGATGGGCTCAGGCGTTTCACAAACAATATTGGAGCATCTTGGCCATATCACATTTGTTGTTGCTCTGAGATAAACAACCTGAGTCTCTCTGTCTACAAAAACTACAACTCCCAGCATGTATTGCTAGTCTCTCTCCCTGCAAAGGTACAAGGTATTCAAACATGGTCTAGTGAAAGCCTTCTAGCTTCGGGTGCTTCAATATTTTCACAAAGACCACCTTGTTGGTGACATACTACCATCTGACATTTGTTAAATTAGACAAGGGTAGGCAAACTTCGGCTCTCCAGCTGTGGTGACACTACAAATCTTATCCTGCATCTGCCTTTGGGAGGCGTGCCTGTGACGGTCAGAGTCTTGCAATGGCTCGTGGGATTTATAGTTTTACCACAGCTGGAGGGTCGAAGTTTGGCTACCCCTGGGCTAGACCAATGTCTCTCATAGCAGAGCGTCTACCTCCCTTGTGCAGGTTAGAGTCCTTCCTTGTGGTTGTTTTTCTTCTCTTGGTTATACACCAACATTTTCCATCTACTGTATTGTTCCCTTATAGTATTGTATATAGATATTGAGACTTCTTCCATCATTTGAAGCATTCCTATTTACTTAAATATACATTCAGCCCTTTCACCTTCAGTACTTACATAATTATAGATTTACAATATTCTATTATATATGGCCTTGCACTGGGGTCAGTCTATATAAAACTGCAAGATGTTGAAGACTTAAACCAGGCGACAATTTCTTACACCAGAGACTGTATTGGTGGAATATCTGTGTTGATTTCCTGGACTTGCACATCTATTGTGGTCACTTTTATGGGCTCTACTCACCCTGTTGGATTTCTAAAAAAATTAGTTTTATGTTATGAGGAATGCAACAAAAGGAGCTAGATAGTGCACAGGTAAACTGGAACGTTGAAAGTTGGGAATTTCAGCAAGTTGACCACGCTGATGGAGTGTGCTCTTCACCTTTTACATAACCGCTCCTTACCTAAAAATTTTCCATCTTTTTGTATAGCTTCCTAAAAGACTGTAAGCTCTTTCAGCCTCTGGTATCCTTTGTGCCTTAAAGGGTCAATCCAGGTAAAAGTGACATTAGACATAGGTGGAGTCTGGCAGTATTAGGACCCATTAACATCACATGCGTGAAATCCATTGTTGGCCAAAATCTATTGTTTCCAATAAATTCAGTTCAATGTGTTGGTGTTAGCTGGACAAATATAGAACATGCTGCAACACATTACATGTTCCAACACGCTACCCCACATGTTAAGGAACAAAAATAAATAAGGATTTTGTCTCTGTGCGAGAGAAAAAAAAGTGCACATCAAGGTAACACAACAACAACAACAACAACAAAAAACACGTTGATCATCAAATCAAGTGAGCTTACCTTCAGTAGTGAGATAGTGCCTCCTGTCTTCATTCTCACCCTTCTTGGATTCTTGGTTATTTCCACTCACCTTTGGCTGTGCCCATTCCTCCTGTTGCATACTTTACAATATGAAATAAAATGGGCAAAGTGGAACTATGTCACCATGGCTGCATCAGGACTGCACAAGTGGGACTCCAGAGATTTTGATACCAAAGACTCCAAGAGGTATGGAAAATCACTTAATGGCTTAACTCACCAGAACCTAAAATATCATTTTTGGGTTGGCTGTCCTCTTCATAGCCTGGTTGCTGAGGTGGAAGTGTTTTCCTTCCTCTTGTCAGATACCTGGAAACAAATCCCCATAGTTACATTTTATGACCTACTATGGCACCTGTAATAGGTGGCGCAGAGTTTCTACTGCTATGTTAGTGTACTGAGTTGCTGGGATTAATTCCCAATAATGCCTAAATACTCTTTAATCTTTTTCTATTTATAATGTTCCATATTTTGATAAGAACTACCTAAAAACTGAACCAGATGGACATTTTTGTAATTACTCTTATTTGTTTTTTTTAAAGCTGAATTGAAAAAGAAAAAATCAGACAAGCGGAAAAATATTATCGTGGTTGAAGCAGTATACAAGGTGCAACAATTTTTTTATGTAAACATATTTAATTAACATTTTATTAGAACAATTACAGAATTCCAATTTTTATTCAGATCAAATAAAGAGAAAACAGCAATCGCATGTGACACCATCAAAAGAAAACACTGCCTAATATAAATGTAAATTCCAACCAATAAAAAAAAACAAAAAAAAAACAGGAAGCATTTGTGTGGCCAGGACCAATGCTTTTGTGACTACCTAACACAGTGGGTCTTAATCTTTTTAGGGCCAGGAACCCTTGGTAACATTCAGTGGTGTCACAAGGGGGGTGCGGCCCACACCCGGGTGTCACCATTGCAGGGGTGAAACCAAAATGATTGGCAGTCATTTTGGTGTCACTCTACTCTAAAAAGTTGGGCACTCGGTCGTGGACCGAGAGCAAGACAGTGTCAGGAGAGAGGAGGGGACCCGGCGGCATACGTCATCCCGCCGGATGAACGTCCCCACCTCTGCCAGTGTTCAGCACCAAGATGGCCACCGGCAGGCATCATTAGATGGTCGACCATGTGCGAGGTGACATCACGCGCACGCACGATGGCGACACCCTACCTGGGGATGCCCCTGGTAACATTTGCCAAGTTGTGGTGACCCCCAACGGGAAAATTTAGGGATGCACCAATACTAGTATCTGTGCGGGCACTCAGGTGGTCACTGGGGCTCTCTTGCGGTCAGTGCGGACTCTCTGGCGGTCAATGAGGCTCTCTGGCTGTCGGTATGACCAGTGCAGGCTCTCTGGTGGTCAATGGGGCTCTCTCGTGACCAGTGCCGGCTCTGTGGCGGTCAGTGCAAGCTCATGTAGTGTACTGAAGAGCCCAGCACAGCACAAGGCACGTGGCAACCCTCTCAACTGTGGGTTGCGACCTACAGGTTGAGAACCACTGACCTAGCACAAACTGGAGGATTTCAATATCACAAGTCACTTTGCAGCATTTTCATGCCATCTGGCTCACAAGCCAAACGTCGTACTGGTTAATGTTTTGCTGTGCCCGATGCATGAAGCTGCAATATCCCATTACAGTCTAAGTATCATTGTTAGCATAGTTTTCACATGTGAATGTAACGCCTGAATTATCAAGAAGAGAGCTTTCAGTTGTTTTTATAATCCAATTAAAGTCTCACACTTCCCATCTCATCATAGCCCTGTATCCTGCATGTTGTGACTGTACCAGATGACAGTGTATTTCCACTTTTGCAGCCAAGTGACAAAAACACCTTCTGTATATTCGTTACATGATCCCGTTCGCATAGTATAACTTGAAGCAAATATTTAAAGCACTGCTCTGGGGAAAATGATTCCTAACCATTGCAGTGGGGCTATCCTTCACTGCAAGGGTTAAGTACTCGTTTAGTCTTGGTTCAAAAATAAAAAAGTTCTACTCACTCGATCCTCCGAGCCAGCTTGCTCTTAGCCCAGATCCCTTGTGCCTCGCTCTCCCTCAGCTGCAGAGGTCTAAGGTCCAATGAGTCCTCAAGTTCTATACACAGTGTATAGGATGTGAAGATGCCAAGGGACATATCATCGCTGTAGTGTAGGAGGAGACGGGCAGAAGGGACCAGTCCAAGAGCAAGCCAGCTCGGAGAATCAGGTGAGTAACTTATTTTTGTCTCTAGACAAGAACGAGCACTTAACCCTTTCACTAAAAGGGGCGTAGCCCCACTGCAAGGGTTAAGGATAATTTTCTCCAGAGTTGCTTTAAAATTGCTGCTTACTCTTTTACTTGCTGAAAAATCTTAGATAGCTTTCCCTTTCTTTGTATAATTTATGGAGTTATGTTTGCTATAATTAACCCTGTCTGTCCTGTGCTGCTAGATTTCATTATCAGTTGTAAACTGGATGTGCCGGACTGTATCCTAACAAAAGGTTAAAGATCAAGACTGGACTGTCAGCCGACTGGACTGGATCAAGACTGGACTGTTCATTGTATGTTTATGCAGTTTAAAAAAAAAAGTGCTCACTTTGTCCATTATCGTTACATTACTATCTATTCTAAGCAAATGACGCTGCCTATAGTGTCCTATGTATAAACCTGCTCCAAAGAAACAACTAGAAAAGGAATTGTTTTGTAAATGTATTTTTAGGTATGCTGTGTGAACAGGAACACACAACAAACATATAAAGCGGTTTATCTCACATTGCATAGCTCTGTGCTGGCATAGTAAGGGACACACTACTCAGCAAAGGTGTCCTCACATTGCAATACTAGTCTGAGAAAGGGGTCATATTTACTCAATTCTGTTATAGAGTGCTGATTACAGAGAGCACTGGGACTAACTCTGGTGCCCATTAGACAGCACAATCCTATATACACCTTGCACAACTGTTATAACAGGAAAGTGAAGGAAGCCAATGAAAATTGAAGCCCATATTAATCTGTCTGCATATCTATTTCTGTCACTACAATTAGACTTCAATGTAAACATGTCATGGTAGAAACATACACTGAGTGGCCAGATTATTATGACCACCCCATCAGTACTTTGTTGGGCCACGAGATGACTCCACGAGATGACTTCGTTGGGCCGCCTCGTGACTCCACGAGATATTGAAAGGTGATGTAAGGAATCTGACACTGCACTGTTGCCCTTCTGTTGTCTTGTACCAGTCTTGCCACTCTCCGTTCTGGCCTAACATTGACTAGTCGCTGGCGGCCACAATTCTCATGTTCAGACCCAGATTTCCGGCTGACAGTCCAGTCTTTAAACACTTTAACAACAGTTGCTCTTGAACACTTAACAAATTCTGCTGTTTTGCGTATACTCGCTCCATGGCTCCGAACGCCAACAATCATCCCACGTTCAAAGGCTGTTAAATCGCGTTGTTTAGCCGTATCTTCAGAAAAAAATCACTTCTACTGTCGTGGTAAACAACCTGCTTCCCTATTTATAATGGTCTGGCCCTCTAGCAACTTCAGCGCAAAATTATAGCTAATTATAGCTAACTTACCTACAAATGTCAGGCGGTCATAATAATCTGGCCACTCAGTGTATACAGGTCTATTCACAAAAGGGTGAAGAGTCTGGAGAAGGCGGGAGAAGTAAACAATCTAGGACAACATAGCTGAACTGGAAAGTAAGCTGAATAGGAGAATATTTCCTCATCAGCTATGTTGTACTAGATTGTTCACTTCTCCTGCCTTCTGCAAACTCCTCACCCTTTTGTGAATGACCCTGATCCTCTGGTTTCATTACTTTGTAAGCAACCAGGAGCAAGCAAACAATTCAATCCAGGGGGCCAGCATAAGGCTGGGTTCACACCTGAGCGTATTTTTTCTGCTCGTTTTTCTCACATTTTTTAGCACATTTTTCCGTTCAGTGAAATGCGCGTTTCTCTGATGGTATGATTTTTTTTTTCCTTACTTTCTCTATGCTTTAAAAATTATTATTTTTTTTTTTCATTTTCAAACTTCACACCAGCTCCGCCCCCCTGCGACGCAGATGCTCGCAAGGGATGGAACCCGGAAGTCGGCAGCCGCCAGAGGACACAGCGGGGATCGCGCACAAGGTAAGACTTGTACGCTGTATTCCCGAGTGTGGCTCGGGGTTACCGCTTTGTTAACCCCGATCCACACTCAGGAATACCAATGGAAACGCGTGGAAAAACGCCCCAAAGAAGCTCCTGTACTTCTTTGGGTGAAGGGCGTTTTTCAGCGCGTTCCTACGCGCTGTAAAACGCCAAGGGGGGAACCATGCCCATAGGCAATTATTGGTTTTCACACGTTGAGCATTTTACAGCGCATAGGAACGCGCTGTAAAACGCCCAGGTGTGAACCAGGCCTAACAATAAAGTAACCAGCATTTTCAGGAGATCCGCAATGGCAGCCCCTATTTTTCTCCTAGGAAAGGTTTACTATAATACCAGCAAACCCTAATTAGAGATATATGACCTCCAAAGAGCTATTATGCACCCTTAAATGCACCCTTTGGGTGCATTTAATGCTGGCTCAGATCTTGTGACTTAGGACTGGGTTCATCACAGTGGCTTAGTGGTTAGCACTTTTGCCTTACACCACAGGGGTCTTTGGTTCAAATCCTGGTCAGGCCACTGCAGGTTTTCCCTGAGCTTGGTGTACTTCAGCTTCCTCCCACATTCTAAAGACACGTTGGTAGGTTAATTGACTCCATCTATATCAGCCCTAGTAAATGTATGCATGCAAGATAGGGACCTTAGATTGTTAGCTCTTTGGGGGCAGGGACTGATGGTGCTGTATAAAAACATGTAATAGAGTCCAATGCCAAACAAAGCATTTCTTGCATTTAACAAGCTTTTTATGAGGCCTTTGAGGATATCTTTGCTATCTTGGCTAAACAGCTAAATAAACAATTGAAATAAATGTATGTTTGGTGTTTTATCTTCCAAAGAATTTATAAATCTGTCTAATCGGTATTGAAATTTACAGTCGGCCACATTAAATAGCAAGAAAGATAACTCTCCTATAGGGAGCTCAAAATTT